TATTTGCTATTTATGCAGGAGCTAGGAGTGCAGCAGCAAACAAAACAAAGAACCCTGCCTTCAGGGTGAGGGAAAAGAAGTAAACAGGCTAACAGAAAGTGGATGATAGGGCCAGGGAGATGGCTCAGTGGAATAAGTGCTTTCCTAGCAAGCACAAGGGTCTGAGTTCAATCCCCGGTTCCGCAAAAAAAAAAAAGAAAGAAAGAAAAGAAAAAAGAAAGTGGATGATGCAGTGTTAAAGAGAGCACTGAGGCTGGGGAGCTAGCTCAGTAGAGTAAGTGCTTGCCTGGCAAGCACAAGAGCCTGAGTTCAATCCCTGGTTCCGAAAAAAAAAAAAAAAAAAAAAAAAAAAAAAAAAACACTAAGGCAAGGGGACAGCAGCAGGGTTCAATGGTGATGGTGACATACACATTCCCGTTGAACAGGATGGTCAGGGAATGCTTTGCTCACAGTTGAGCAGGCTCTGAAGAAGATGAGGGAGTGAGCCTTGGGCCCCTCTGGGAGAAGTGGGCTCTAGGCAAGGAAGGATGGCTGGCTGAAGGGTGCATGGCTGGGCTGAGAGCAGGAAGTTCAATGTAGATGGTAGGAGATGGAATCCGAAAGGCAGTGGGGCCAGATTGCTTGCAGCCCTCTAGATATAGACTTTGGCTTTTACTCAGAATGGGACGGGAGCCAGGAGAGGGTTTTAAGTGGTGCTGTAATGAATAGGATTTAACCACCGGCTGGCTGCTGTGTGTAGAAAGAATGTTGAGGGAGCAAGGGTGGAGCTGAGAAGCCTAGAAGATGATAGGTGGCCCAGGCTGGAGGTTAGGGTGACAGCAGTGATAGTAGAAAGGAGGTCAACAATAGAAGGCAGGGCTGAGCCCGAGGTGTGGGGTGAGCAGCTTAAGCAGGTGGTTGGGGAGATGTGGAGAGAGCAGACAGGGTGCTTCTCAGTGTCCCCATTCTGTGTGTCTGTGACTGCATCTCTGTCTCCAGCTTCCCTGAATGCCCTGAGCGACTCCATGCCATCAAGGAGCAGCTGATCCAGGAAGGACTCCTGGATCGCTGTGTGTCCTTTCAGGTGAGGCCCCTGGGAAGAGGGAAGGGTGTTGGCAGGACCTGGCATAGCCCAAGTCTTAGCCCCTGATTCCTTTGTCTCCTCAGGCCCGCTTTGCTGAAAAGGAAGAGCTGATGTTGGTTCACAGGTTAATGCTTGGAGCCTGGTTGGGCTGGGACTAACCAAGGTGGGCTGGATGCTTTAGGAGAGAATGTTATGGTCACTCTGGCTGGCCTTGGGCAAGTCACCAAGTCTACCTGAATCTGTTACTATAATACAAGGGCTGGTAAACATAAGGCTCCTCTGGAGGGCTCAATGAATGTCAGGTGCTTCAATCCAGCCCAACAGTTCATCAACCCAGATGAACAGGCAGAGTGATCAAGAGGGTTCTCCCAGGAGCCTACAGAGGCCCAGAGTAACAGGTTTGCATTGGCATGGCTTAAAGGAAGCTAACTTGATGGAGAAGGTAGCTGAGCTAAATTCTGAGGAGAAAATCGGTCGGTATGATCTAGTGGAAGGATGAGGGGGAAGGAGCAGGTAGCTGGAGCAGTCTGGCTAAGCCTGGAAGGAGGGTGTGGGGTGGGTAGAGCAGGAGAGAAAGGATACTACTGGTAGTAAAGTGGGCCAGGAAAGAAACAGTCTGTGTCCTATGTCCCAACTGTCCCCTCACATTGACGGTAGGGGCAGTTGTGATTTGACCAAAGACCTTGGTGTCAGGGGCTCAACTGAGGAGGGGATAGGGCCCTAACTCTCATCTCTTATGTGTGTCCCTAGCCCAGAATTTATCGATCTGATGGAAACAACCCAGCACATAAATGAGAAAGAACTCCGAGTACTAGCAGATACCTATGACTCAGTTTATCTGCATCCGGTATGGATGGGCACTATGGGGTCAAGGAGTGGTGGTAGTCCTAGAGCCCCTTATCACTGTCCCCACCTCATCCTTGGCAAAACCACCCAGCAGAGAGGGCTGCTCCTCTGACTACCTCTCTGGCTCTTCTTGTCTACAGAACTCATACACTTGTGCCTGCTTGGCCTCAGGCTCTGTCCTCCAGCTGGTAGATGCAGTCCTGGGGGCTGAGATACGGAATGGCATGGCCATCGTCAGGTAGGACACTTCAGCATTTTACTACTTCCATTTTTTAAAAAGTCCTTCTCCCAAGTGTAAAACATACAGGCTTGGGCATTACCTTTATGTAGTATGAGGGGCAGAGGGCACTAAAGAGAGTACAGTAAAAAGTCTCTATCCCTCCCCAGTTCCAAAAAAAAAGTCTCTATCCCATCCTTGTCTCCTAAGTACCAGTTCCTTTCATGGGGGGTAATCATATCCAGTGACTCTTGAGTCTTCCCACAGATAGTCTTATTTAAGGAGTAAGCATCATACTCCATTATATTAGTTATTTTATTTTATGTTATTTTGAGATAGGGTTTTACTCTCTGAGTTCAGGCTGACCTTGAACTAACTATGTAGTCCAGACTGGCCTCAAACTCAGCAAAATCCTCCTGCCTCAGTCTGCTAAGTGCTGGAATTTACAGGCATGCACCGCCACACCTAGCTACATCTCCTTTTTTCACATCTCATGGTAGTTAGCACTCATACTCTTCCATACCATGCATTTTTCACTTACAGGTCTTAGCTTTCTCTAACAGTATGGAGCTTAGATCACAGTGGATGCCATTGTATAAATCCACATTGAATTTACGACTCTGCAACCAGCGGGCACTTAGGTTTGCCCTAGTCATTTGCTGCTTCAAACAATGTCACAGCAAATATGGAGCCATATTATAAACAAATTATTTTATCCATTTTGTTATCCAGTTTGTGGGCTAAGTCCCCACACCAGAATAACTGGCTATGTTAATGTATGCTTGGATAACTTTAATGAACATCATCAAATCTCCTTTGGAGATAAAGCAGTAGATTGGGGGTGGTGACAGTTTGAGGGTCCTTGTTACTCAGTTCCTGGCAGATTAGTGGCACTGACAAGAGAGAAGTTGGAGGTCTCAGTAGATGTTAGTGGTCCCAGGATTAGACAACAGGGTTGAGTCTGTCTCTATGAAGAATAGGACCCTTCCCTCAGCTATGGCCTGCCCTGCCCTGCCCAGGCCTCCTGGACACCACGCCCAGCGCAGTCTCATGGATGGGTATTGCATGTTCAACCATGTAGCCATCGCTGCCCGCTATGCTCAGAAGAAGCACCGCATTCAGAGGTCAGTGGCAGCGGGCAGGTGGGATGGGGTAGGGTGGAGTGGGGTACCCCTCCTCCAGATTCTCCTTGGTTCCCTGAGATAGAGCACCCCACTTTCTCCTGCTCACAGGGTCCTTATCGTGGATTGGGATGTGCACCATGGTCAAGGAACACAGTTCACTTTTGACCAGGACCCCAGGTACACCTCAAGTCCCACCCTAGCTGCTAAACTCTGGGCTTCCCCCTCCCTGTAGCCATGCAGGCCCAGTCAGAGAGCTGGGAGGCAGGGGAAGACAGTCATTTCATTGGGCTACCTGGGTCGGGGTCTGTGCTGCTCCCTGTATGTCTGCCCTGGTTCGCATTTCACGGGCAGGAACTATTGGGTTCCCATTTTACAGATGGAGGGGACTGAGCCTTACTGAGTCAGAGAAGAAGCAGGAGAGATCTGACTCACAAATACTTGGATGTTTCTTCATCCTGAATTGTTTTTTCCTGGTCCTTCTCTTTCATTTTGGGAGCTTTTCCTCAACAGTCTCTCAATGCCTTTTGATCTTCAGAGTCCCCATCTCTCAGTCCCTTACGTCCAGCAACAGGGAGACAAATTGTGCACTCCTGAAGTGCTGTTACGTAGATAAAGGAAATAGGTAAAACTAAATTGAAGTAGGTGCAAGAAACAAGTAAATGTGGTGAGGTGCTCATTTGGTGAATTGGCTATGCAGAATTGATTTAGCGTGCATTGACCTGTATCTGCACTTGATTTCTCCAGAGGGGAATCTTCAGGCCACCCTTGATGGGTGCTTGCCCACGGACTCAGCATGGAAGAGGGCCCTACACCCCCAGAGCTTCAGCAGCTATTTTCTAGAGATTTGTTGAAATCTCTTATCTGAGAAACTTTCTCTTGTTTTTCTTTCTGGATTGATTTTTTGTTTCAGTACTAGAGATTGAACCTAGGGTTCCCTGCATGCTAGGCAAGTGCTTTATCACGGAGCCACATCCCCAGTCTGATATTTATTTGAAATTCCTGTACTGGCTTGGGGTGTAGCGCAGTGGTAGAATGCATACTTTATGTCTAAGACCCTGGGTTCCTTCCTCAGCACCAAAGACTAAATAAATGGGTGTAATAGGTGCAGGCCTATAATCCCAGTGGTTTAGGAGGCTGAAAAAGAAGGTTTGCAAGTTCAAGGGCAGCTTTTTAAAAATTGTTAAGAAAGGGTTGGGAATATAACTTAGGGAGAAGGTGCTGGGTTAAATCCTCAGTACAGGGAGAAACAAACAAATAACGGCATTTACCATCTTTTAACTGGGATGGAAGGAGGGCAAGAAGGTAAACCAGTGGTATTGAACCACCATTCCACTGGAAATCAGTTGAACCTACTTATTTTTGTTGTTATTTTGAGACAAGGTCTCACTATGTAGCCCAGGCTGGCCTCAAACTTGTAACTGCCTCATCCTCCCGAGTGCTGAGATTATAGGGGTGTGCCACAACGCCTAGTAGTTGAATTTATTTTAAATCCTGTTCTGAACTGGTGTGTAGTTCTAGGGGTAGAGCACTTGCATGAGGCCCTGCATCCATCACCAGCACTACAATCAATAAACCAATCAGTTCCCTTCTGTTCGTTTTATAGACCTAGTTTCCTTGGGTGCTCCTACTTTTCTTTGTTCACCCTGGTAGCTTTCTTGTGGAGTTGGCTTTCTTTGAATCTTTTGTTTCCTTTCTTCTAGGAAGTCTTTGTTTGTTTGTTTGTTTCCTTTCTTCTATGATGAAACTGGCTAAAAGTACAGATCACTCCATGAATTTCTGTGTCATCCTTGCATGGGGGCCATGCTAATCTCTGTATTATTCCAATTTTAGTGTTTGTGCTGAGTGGTGATAATATTTATGACCTCCTAGAGCTGGCAAGATAGCGCAGCAGACTAAGTGCCTGCTTAGGCAAGCACAGGGACTGGAGTTCAATTCCTGGCACCACAAGCTGCACCAGCCCCGCCCCTAGGCGCACTGAGCCAGCATCCAATTCCAGACATGGTGTTATGCACCTGTAATCCCAGCACTGGGGAGGCTGAAAACAGAAGGATCACTATGAGTTTGAGCTGGGTAGTGAGACCCTGCACACACACACACACACACACACACACACACACACGCAAATGACCTCCTATATATTTCTCTTTCTTTAATGTTTATCTTACTAAAAGTTTATTTATTTATTTATTTAAATACTACTGTAAATATTTAAATACCAGTGTCAAAAATAAAGCCAGGGATAGCGGCACATGTATGTAATCCCAGCACTTGGAGGCTGATGCAGAACTGCTGCAAGTTCAAGGCCAACCTGAACTATATAGCAAAACCCTGTCTTGAAAAATCGTACATACATATGTAAAATAAAATAAAATAAAAAGGAAAAGAAATAAATTATCTACCACCCACTTAAGACCATAGTTTTTGTATGTATTTCATTCCTCAAGATGTTTTTCTTCATTTTTAAGAATTACAAGGGCCAGCCAAATAGCTCAGTGGATTAAAGTGCCTGCAAGCAGGGGCCGGGTTCGATCCCCAGGCCTGCCCTGCCAGCCCCACCCCCGGGGTGTACTGAGAGGCAATTGAGACTGGGCATAGTGGTGTACGTCTGTAATCCCAGCTCTTGGGAGGCTGTAAATGGGGATCACTACAAGTCCGATCTAGTAGTGAGACCCTGAACACCATATATATATAATATTAATATATAATATATTATGAATTATTGGGTTAGGGAGTTAGTTCAATGACTTAAGTGCCTGCCTGGCAAGCACAAAGTCCTGAATTCAATCCCAGGTACTAAAAGAAAAAAAATTAATTTTGGGGGCCACAGATATAGTTCAGGTGCACAGCACCTGCCTGGAAGTGCAAGGTCCTGAGTTTGATTACTGATACAAAAAAAAATCGCTTGCTTAAGCAAGCGCAGGGTTCGATTCCCCGGCACTACATGCCCCACACCCCCATGTGTACTGTGCTGGCCACCGAGAAGGTGTGGTAGTGCATCCCTGTAATTCCAGCTCTAAGGAGGCTGAAAATAGGAGGATCACTACGAGTCTGAGCTGCGTAGTGAGACCTTGTACCAAATACACTAAAAATAAATTTAAAAAGCTCAACTAGGCATGGTGGCACATGCCTGTAATCCCGATACTTAGAGGCTGAGACAGGAGGATCGCTGCAAGTTCGAGACCAGCCTGGGCTACAAAGTGAGCTCAAGGCCAGCCTGAACTGCATAGCGAGACCCTGTCTCAAAAAGACAAAACAAAAAACCTAAACTTTTGTTATTTGCATTAAATTTCACAGCTACATTATCAACATTTATGAAGATATGACTTGAATGTATCTGTTCATTTAACACTTTTTTCCTATTCCTTAAAAATGTGGAAAAATGCTGTTCCCTTTCCAAAAAAGGTAAAAAACCTTGGAACAAGGTTGATAAGCAGATAGTTGAGTGGGATGGACAGATGGGTGATAGATTATTCATTGTACTTTGCTGGGTCAGAATTGAGTCCCCCACAGTCCTCTGTGACAGGTTTTTGTTTGGTTTTGTCTTTTTGAGACAGGGTCTCGCTGTGCAGTTCAGGCTGGCTTTGAGCTCACTTTGTAGCCCAAGCTGGTCTCAAACTTACAATGATCCTCCTGCCTCAGTCTCCTGAGTGCTGGGATTACAGGCATTTACCACAATGCCCAGCCTGCCATACTTTCAGTTAGAACCTGTTCATCATGCCTTGCAGTGAGAATCTGTACATCCTGTCCTTTCAGTCAGAATCTGTTCATCCTCTCTGTCAGAATGTGTACATCATGCATTTAGTACCTGCTTGTCAGTACCTCTGCCCTCGTGAATGTTCGCTTCCTCACCTGTAAAATAAAAGTATAGCAGAAGTGACCTATGAGCCACTGGGGAGAAGGGACTGGGCTCATGACAGTCTTAGCCAGCATCCGTGCTCCACCTCCACACACAGATCCAAGTCCGACCCAGCCTTACCCTTGGCCCCTGGTTTCCCTCCTTCCAAGCTCCCCAGTCTGGCCTGAGGCTCTTTGCAACTGAGCTGTCTCCCCCAGCTAAGAACCCAATGGCTCCTGTGTACCTCTGGTGTCACAAGATTTTCCTTGCTGTTCCTATCTTGGACACAGAAGCACTTGGCAGACATATATGATCTAGAGCAGATGTGTCCAACCTGTGGCTCACAGGCCTCTTGCCCTCTTTTGTACCAGGAATCAGGACCTTGTGTTTCCAGGCAGGCTCTGTGCCTCTGAGCTAGCTCCCCATCCCCCCTCTTTTCTTTAATATCATAAGTAGGGACCAGAGAGATAGCTCAGTAAAATAAGCGCTTTCCTGGCAAGCACAAAGGCCTGAGTTCAATCCCTGGTTCTGAAAAAAAAATTATAATAAGTATAAAAAGGAAGATTTGGGGGCTGGGGAGATAGCTCAGTAGAATAAGTGCTTGCCTGGCAAGTTCAAGGTCATGAGTTCAATCCCCAGTACCACAAAAAAAAGGGAAGATTTGGGGCCGGGGAGGTAGCTCAGTAGAATAAGCGCCTGTCTGGCAAGCGCAAAGTTCTGAGTTCAATTCCCAGTACCGCAAAAACAAATAAATTTTTTTAAAAAGGAAGACTTGATACATTAACTATTATAACTTGATACATTAACTATTTTATTTATTTATTTATTTATTTTTGCGGAAGCAAGGATTTGAACTCAGACCTTTGCACTTGCCAGGCAAGCGCTTATTCTACTGAGCCATCTCCCCAGCCCCCTACATTAACTATTTTAGATGTGGCCTAAGACTATTCTTCTTCACTCAGTGCAGCTCAGGTAGGCCAGGCAGCCCACAGCCCATGGGTTGGACATGACTGACTAGACTCTCCCACAGGATCAGGAGGCTCCAGGGGGTGGGGTAGACTTCATAGCACTTGGGTCTCAGACTTGAGTCCAGAGTTGGGTAGACATTGAAGGAGCAGTATTATTTGGTGGGGGGAGAGGTTCTGGTGGGGAACCAAATGAAGGATTGAGAAAATGGGTAAATATATGAAAGAATTAATAAATAAGAAAGTAAATAAATTGATGGCTGAATGGAAAGATAAACTAGTGGAAGAACAGATGTACAAAGTGGTGTCTCCTGTGTTGGCATATGCCTATGATCTCGGTACTCTGCATGCTGAGGCAAGTTGGATTATCAGTTTGAGCCCAAGTTGGGCAAATTTAACAAATATAGTGAGATCCTGAATCAAAAATAGAAAAGGGCTGGAGAAATAGCTCAGTGTGAGGACCTTGTGTTCAATCCCCATTAGTGCCCCCCTCAATTTTTTTTTTTTTATTTTGGCAGAACCAGGGATTGAACTCAGGCCCTTGCGCTTGCCAGGGAAGTGCTTATTCTACTGAGCCGTCTCCCTGCCACCCCCCAAATTTTTTAAAAGAAAGAATTGTTAGGGAAATTAATGGAGAGATTGATGAGTGGTTGAGTAAACATGACAGCTGTGGCTTGGGAGTATCTAGAGACTGACTTCTCCAGGCCCCTCACCTATTTTTGTTTTGCAAAACTAGGGATTAAACTCAGGACCTTGTGCTTGCCAGGCAAGCGCTTATTCTATTGAGCTATCTCCCCAGCCCTGTTTTTGTTTTGTTTTGTTTTTTGCAGTGCTGGGGATTGAGCCTGTGACCACATATATCATAGGCAAGCCCTCACCTCATTGTTTTTCTGTGCCCCCAGTGTCCTCTATTTTTCCATCCATCGCTATGAGCAGGGCCGGTTCTGGCCCCACCTTAAGGCCTCTAACTGGTCTACTACAGGTTTTGGCCAAGGTCAAGGCTACACCATCAATGTGCCTTGGAACCAGGTTAGTATTTACCATCCTCTGCCCCCAGAATGAGACCCAGCTCTGCCTTCTACTCTCGTCCCCATCATGCCTCTGTCCACAGGTCGGGATGCGAGATGCCGACTACATTGCTGCTTTTCTGCACATCTTGCTACCAGTTGCCTTCGAGGTCCTGGGGTCTGGGAAATGTTGTGGTGAGGGGTAACAGGGATGGCCCATGAGGACAGGTGGTCTCATGTAGTCTATTCCTCCCCTCAGTTCCAGCCTCAGCTAGTCCTAGTGGCTGCTGGATTTGATGCCCTACAAGGGGATCCCAAGGTAAGGCAGGCCTCTGAGGTTGGCGGGTGAGCAAAAGGAGCTGCATAGAGCCAGGCTTACTCTCTGGTCCCCCCAGGGTGAGATGGCCGCAACTCCAGCAGGGTTCGCCCAGCTAACTCACCTGCTTATGGGTCTGGCAGGAGGCAAGCTGATCCTGTCTCTGGAGGTAAGTGACCTTTGTCCCTCAACCTGTGGACCCCGGAGGGCTTCAGAACAGCTTTCGGGCTGCAGTGTGAGTCAGTGGTAAAGCATTGCCTGATATGCATGTAGCCAAGGGTTTAATCCACAGCACCACACACAAGTGAAGATGGACAGTTTTCATGTTCACCTGGAGTCCCTGGCCTGGCATCTCCACTTACTAACTGGATAGCATGATAAAAATGTCACTTCACTTCTTTGTGACTCTGTTTCCTTACATGAAACAGGGAAAATGTTAATGGTAATCACCTCATGTCATCTTTAGTGAATTAAATATGGTCACCCCCCCACATGAGTTCTTTGTTAACATGTAGTACACACCCCTAGTAGTGTTACTGCCCATTGTTCTTCCCAGTAACGTCCAGGCCTCTCCTCACCCCCTCATATCTCCTCTCAGGGTGGCTACAACCTCCGCTCCCTGGCTGAGGGTGTCAGTGCATCACTCCACATCCTTCTGGGAGATCCTTGCCCCATGCTGGAGTCCCCTGGTGCTCCCTCCCCAAGGTGAGCCTGGGGCAAGAGAGCAGGAGG